CATCTGTAGTTAAAGTTAACTACTCATGTCTTTAACTTTCAAACTTATGGACATTTTAGTAAGAGTTAATTTCATCATATGTGCATTGTCTTTTGTGGTAATTCTAAATTTAGTCCCAAATTATCGTTTTTGCCATTTAATATTACAGACTATTTTTTTGTACACTTTTAGTTCTTTTCATTACTTTTCCTATTTTTAGTAAGGTCATTTTTGTCTCTTCATATTTTTCTTTTATGGTTACTAAAAATCAGAGGCTACCTAAAGTCCTAAATCAATTAAACCGGTTGAAATCGGAAAACTAACAAAAGAAAAATATGAAAAGACAAAAATGCTCTTACTAAAAATAGGAAAAACCATGAAAAGGACTAAAAATGTCCAAAAAATAGTTTAGGATGTTAAATGTAAAAAATGATGGTCTGAGACTAAATTTGAAATTGCCACCAAAGGTAAAGGATCGCTAGTAGAATTAACTCTTTTAGTAAAATCAAACATTTGAACAAAAATGTCATTTAGAATTATAAACATACTAGTTCTTTTACGCGCTTTGCACAAATGAAATAATGCCCAATGAATATTTTTAAATAAGTATTTCAAAGTATATCAATGCAATATTATATCGGAGATGTCCATGCATAGGTAAATAAATATTGAATTTGTTTATTTAAATCGGTAATTTAAAGTATATATAAATGCAAGATAATATATGAGAGATTGATTTTATTGTTACTAAAATAAATGTTTGTAACTTTGTAATAACGCTAGTCTAAATACTTAGTCTAAAAATGATAATCTAAATAAATACTACTTTTGATTTAAATTTCTCTAATTCTAGATTACTTTCTTTCTTCTTCCTCTATTGCTTACGATGTCAACACAGTGGAGGCAAAGTACAAAGTTTTCTTGTTCATCGCCATCATCTTCGCTAAGACAGAGGTACCACTACGGAGATGCAATCCCTATGCGCATATGCAATTTTGGTAGCGAATAGAGCATCCAAACCTCTTGGAGTAGCGAAAATCCCGAGCGGAGGTTTTGGGTTTGTGTAAGGAGCATTTCAGGTTGATTTTTTTGTTACATATTTGTCAATTATTACTTGTTGTGAGAATTTTTGAATTTGTTGATAGGATGGCGTCGGATGTGGATTCAAAGAATGGTTCGATCCTCCCATGTGTCCACGTGCGAAGAAGATTATTCCCGGCTTATTAAGAAGCATGAATAGAAAAGATGAGGAGATTGGGAGGTTGAAAGCAATGGCAGTGTCCTCTGTTGGTGGTGGAAGGAATTGTAATTGTGGAAAAAAAAAAAAGGAGGCTTTAGGCTTAGGATTAAATGGTTTGTGGTAATTGTTGTAGCATTTAGTATGTTTTACTTGTATTACAAATCTGTTGAAATTGGGAGTAATAGTTGTAGACTCCCTTTAGCATGATGTACTTTGCTAGTTTTGGCACTTATTTATGAATGGAAGTTTATGAAGGTATGTATAGGAAAATGCAATCTGGAATGGTATGAAACTTAGCAAACTGCATTTAGACCAAAATGAAACTGCAACTGGAATGGTATTTGGTAGGTTATTTATGAATGCAAATTAGCAAGCTGGAATTGTATTTAGTAGGTTATTTAAAAATGCAAATTAGCAAACTGGAATGGTATGTATAGCAAAATGCAAACTAGAATGGTATGAAACTGCAACTTAGCAAAATGATAAACTGCATTGATGTTGGAGTATTCAAAACACAAAAGTTTTACCATGCTAAAGGGAGTATTACCCACAATCAGTTTGCATTTTCCAAAACAACTACAACCAAAATATGCAGCTAAAATAATCTACCACCAAAATACATTTAACACCAAAACAATTACAACCAATTTTGCACAGAATCTGAAGGCCGTAGTCAAGCTTAATTGGTTTGGAGGCTGTGTTCTTGAATTTCATAGTAAAAGAAGACCTTGTCATATACCTCCTCCTTGGAGGCTGAGCAACAGTTTTATTTTTCTTTGTTAGACCAAGTGTCTTTTGCTTCTGAGAGGGGAAGATGGAGGTGCAGTAGCTTGCTCTTGAAAACCATGACCTTGCTCAGAACTGTTAAGGCCTTCACCATCTTCCTATGTAGGTAATGACATCTCTTCATTTGCCTCAACCTCAACTTCTACATGGTAATCATGTTGAACTACTTCTGAGCTTGTGTAACACCCTGAAATTTTAAAACTTTCGAAACTTATATAATGAAAGTAGATTCTCATTAAAACCCAAAACATAATATAATAAAGTACGGGGTGCTATGCCACACTTGGGCTGGAGAACCCAGGTGCACAGGCTAACTAACTAATTTCATCAATATTGTAAATACATAAGCATGTCACGCAGGCCGAAAGGGAAAACTATCTACTCTACACTCCAAATCTCTAGCGCGCTCCAGTGTCTACTTCTCTGTGCCTGAAAGCCAAATATATCTATTCAGCGAGAGATGCTGGTAACCCACTCCAACGCATTGAAATACATTATAGATAGATATATATAGATATACGAAAACCATTTTGAAGCAGGAAGATATATACTTAGGAGACACTAGTTTTAAAACCAAGAATAGACACGACAGATAGGGATAAGCACATTCAACAGTTATAATCAAGCTTATAGAGATACTAGCATATATCCTATGGGATAGGCACATTCAGCAATTGTAACCAAACATGTAGAGATACTAGCATATATCCTATGGTCACGGATTCACTTCATCTCATGTATATCATCCTTCAACTCATCACACAAGCACACTTTGTTGGCGCCACAGGACCAATCGCATGCCCATACATGAGGGTCAGCGCATATAGCTCTGGCACGGCCCCGCAGCACCCTGCCTCGTATCGCAACACGAAGGGGTCGATCGCAACCGACCGATGAACCGCAGCTCATCATAATGTTTGATCGCAACCAAACAATGGACCGCAACCCAAGAGTGATCATCTGACCGCAGCCAGGAATGTGAACCGCAGCTCATGTAAAACATTTGATCGCAACCAAACGGTGGATCGCAGCCCGAGAGTGTAATTCTGACCGCAGCCAGCTTCTGAACCGCAGCTCAGGAATAACCAATTTGATCGCAACCAAATTGGGGTATCATGCACACATAACACATAGCAAGCACATGCAACCCACATTAACACATTGGGAAGGGGGAGAAATCGTATAACGAAACCTATGCGTGGCCATCCACATACTAGGAATAACCCTAAGGGGTTCATGCTTCTTTCACCTAGGCCAACGGGATACCAATTCCACTAGCATGCAACATATATATATATATATATATATATATATATATATATATATATATATATATATATATATATATGACTCGTTTGTCCTACGAATGGTACCCGAAACATCAAAATAGACTTTAGACACGATAGACGGACTCCGTTGGGACGCCACGGGGGTCGGGGGAACATCAAACGGGGAAGCCGGGATCCCGAGGTGGGATAATTTCCAGCGGGTAGCCGGTGGGTGAAGGGTCACCCGCCGGCTGCCCGCTGCCGGCGGCGTTATTTCCGGCCGCGGGTAGGTGGCGGGTCCCCTACTCCCCACTGACTCTTTTTCACAATACGCGCCCCGGGATCCTTTGTGGAACCCGAAACCATGCTTAGACACCTTTAAACGAAATTGATGACAACACGTAGACAATTAACGGATCAAAAGCAAGAATCATACGGCACGTATCCTATCATAATTTCTAAACCAAAACAACATTCGAGCATGCGAATTCCCACCCAATACAACAAGAATAACACCATACAAATTTCGCGATACATCCTAGGGCTCTAATCATTTTTAAATTAACAAGAACATAACTCATATTCTAATATCAAGAAACATCAAGATTCATCAAGAATATCACACAATCATCAAGAATCCCTCATCATCATAAAGATTATCAAGATCACACATAAAATCATAACACCAATTATCAAGATCACATCATCAATATCATAAACGATTCATCAAGACACAAGAATATAGAGGGAGGCCTAAGAGGGAGATCATAGCTAAGAAAATAGGTTTTGTTGAGACATGGGTTACCTCTTAGCCTTAATTAATTTCCTTGGCTATGAAGGGTCTTTCTTTAAGATTCCTTCTTTCTTGATTTCTCCTAGGGGGATTCTTGGAACTTCTTGTGTGGTGAGGGATTATTGTGGTGTGGGTTCTAGGTGCCTCCTATGCCCCCTATTTATATACCTAAGAGTCCCTAATTAGGGTTAGTTCTATTCCTTCTAGAACTAGGGGATTGGGTTTAGGGATAAGGGCCCATGGACTATGGTGGGCCTTTTAATAATTAATTATTGAATTTTAGTCATTTCTTTTGGGTAATTGATTAAATGATTAATTGGTTTTAGGGGCCGTAACACGGGGTGTTACAGCTTGCATCTTGAATAGGAATCTGTATGAAAGGTATGTTAGTTACACAGTCAATGCAATATGTATGAAAGGTATGTTACTAAGTTAAAACTTACATCAATCATGTGATCTACTGGTGTTCCCATTTGCTCTAAACCCCCTAGATTTGTTCTGCTGCTTTGTGGTTGTGTTCTTTGTGGCTGAGGGTTTCTCTACAAACATAAAACAGAAGGTGCAATGTAATACATGGAAAACAGTATAAGTAAAACAAGAATGTAATGTAATACTTACAGGTTACAGTGGGCATCTCCTACTATTATGGCCTTTGTTTACAAAATGTGCAATGTAATACCACATGGGTTCTAGACATATAGACCCCATCCTTTGTGATTTTATTTTTTTCCTTGGCTTCATCAGCTCCTCTCAACCTCAGTTTCCTTGGCCTCCCAGGTTTTGCTTTGTATTCAGGTGGCAAGGGTGCTTCTCTATGAGTATGGGGCCACTCATTTGGTCCAGCCATTGGATTAATGCCACATCCATAAACCTTCAAGTATGTTTCAACAGTGTAGCAGTTATCTACATAGTCCAGCACATTGTGTCTCTTCATCTAGATTGCACAAATGCCATGTCTGCAAGGGAGTCCAGTCAAATCCCATTTTCTGCACGAACATGTTCTTCTGGCCAAATCTACAGTGTGTTGCTCCCCTGTATACATTCTTTTCACTTCAAACAGATTCAAGTCACATTGTAAGGGTATATACCCTCCTGCAAATTTCTCTTCTGCTGCAATATTTTTAACAATGTTAGGACAAATCACTGAAGTCCATCCAGATGCCTCTTCTTTATTTTTAAACAGTCTTGTCATCAGTATAGTCCTAAGCATCTCAAGGCAACTTATCAATGGCATTTCCCTAGCCTTAACTATCATTGCATTGAAACACTCACTTACATTGTTTACTATGATATCACAGAGGGCAAAACTACTAAAGTGTGACCTGGACCATTCAGATGGATGTTTGTCTCCCAACCAATCAAAAGCATCACTGTCAAGGTCTTTGATCTTCCTCATTGAGTCCTTAAAAGAGTTTACTGTGGTGGCTCTTGCTGCTGACCATAGTGTATCCTTAAGTGCATTACCATGAAAACCAGCAACCTTCATGTTAGCATATAAATGCCTTACACAGAACCTATGCACCACATTTGGTATTACTTTACTAAAAGTAGGCAGCAAACCCTTCTGCTTATCTGAAATGAAGGTGTATTTATTTTCAGATGCCTCATCAATACCCAAATCATGCTTAAGTAGTGCTAAGATCCAAGACCATGATTCCTTGTTTTCACCCTCAACTATTGCATAAGCAATTGGGAAGATCCTATCATTAGGATCCATGGCAGTTGCAGTCAACAAATATCCACCATACTTTGATCTCAAATGGCAACCATCAACCCATATAAGCTTTCTACAATGTAGGAAAGCATTCCTACAAGCCTCCGAACATATATACCATCTTAGAAATCTTGTTTTTCCCCCTTCTTCTACAGTTTCACTCATCTTCACAATAGAACGAGTTTTTGGATTTTATCTTTGAATCTCCAAGTAGTTACTCCAAAACTTTTTGAAATAGTCTTCTAGATCACCATTAATAGCAGCTCTAGCCATTATCATTGCCTTATAAGCAACCTTAGAGGTGATATGGAAGTGGTCATCAGTAGCCACTCTCTCCCTGAACTCACTGACTCTCCAGGTTGAATTACTACCTATGTCTTTTTTCCACCTCTTAGCTAGTCTACTAGACCTTACAGATGAATTCTCCCACACCCAAGAGTAGCCATCATGAGTGTCATTGAATGAAGTAACCCTCCAGCAGTTCACCTCCTTAATCCATCTTAGGGTTATTGACCATGGACAACCAATTTTCTTGCACTTCACAATACATCTTACCTTGTCATTATTTTCAAACTTTATATCTTTCCCTTCTTTGAATGTATAACTCACTACGGCATCCTTAAAATCTTTTTTTTTTTTTTCTGAAAATGTCATTCTAACACTGAAAATAGGGTTGTCCATGTCACAACTCCTAAACTTTGGCCAAATGTCACCCTCTACTTCCTCATCACTTCCATGAGGTGTCTCATCATCAGAATAGTTCACTTGGACATTCATTTTATCATTTTCAGATTTCCCATCCTGCACAGTAGTGGTTGATCCTATCCCATAGTATTCTACATTGGGATCTACTGCTTTTTCAAAATAAATATCATCATCCTCACCTGGACTATGCAATTCTTCTTCACCTCCATCTTCATAATCAGAATCTTCTTCCACTTCAACCTCAGCCTGAGCTTCATAATCACAATCTTGTTCCACTTCAACCTCAGTCTGAGCTTCATAATTAGAATCTTCTTCCACTTCAACCTCAGCCTCAGCTTCAAAATTTAACCCTCCAATGTTGATCCACACTTCTACTTCCCTTTCCTTATCACTAAAATCAATTAAATCCCATGTTTTACTATCTGAAATGACCTCAATTAAACATTCACCCACAATAGTATATAACTTACATTCACTCATAGTGTAGCCTAACTCTATGACTTTGTCTTGTAAAGTCATAAACCCCCATTCATCAACATCCATGTAGTCAAAATAATCCACATGACCTCCAACATATGTTGCTGGCTCACTCATTAATATTTTACCACCATGCCTGAGCTTAAGTGTAAATCTATTTTCATCAATGTCATCTGAATGATTAAAAAAAACACACTATATTTTACAAACAGAAACTATAAACATGGATTATAAAACACAAATACAATAGATCAAACTTGCAGTTCAATAAATAACAACAACAACAACAACAAAAAACACAATGGTCCCCACACACTATATTTTACAAACAGAGAGCAAGTAATGCTCTCCAGTGGTAGAGCTGTCGAAACGGGCCGGCGGGGCGGGACCTGCCATATGGCGGGGGCGGGCTAAAAAGCCCGCCAAAATACGGGCCTAAAAGAGGCCGCCCCGCCTTAAGCCCGCGAGCCTTGGCGGGGCCCGCCAAATTTTAAATTTAAATAAAAATTAAAATAAAAAAGTGATAAGTGTATACTAAAATAATACTAATACACTAATTATATATATACTAATACACTAATTACAGTTAACTAATTTATATATATGAACTGTAATTGTAAACTAAAACTAAATACTAACATAATACTAATACACTAATTATATATACTAATTCACTAATTACAGTTAACTAATACTAATTTATATATGTAAACTGTAATTGTAAACTAAAACTAAATACTAACATAATACTAATACACTAATTATATATACTAATTCACTAATTACACTTAACTAATATGTAAACTGTAAACCAAAGCTAAATACTAAAATAATATATACTAATACACTAATTATATATACTAATAATGTGCAGATTACAGTTAAACTATATACACTAATTTATATATGTAAAATTGTAAACTGTAAGTATATACTAATAATTATATATACTAATAAACAAATTACAGTTAACTATACACTATATATATATATATATATATATATATATATATATATATATATATATATATATAACTTGGCGGGCTCCCGCCAAGCCCGCCCCGCCAAAGCCCACGGGTTAGGCGGGGCGGGCTAAAAAGCCCGCCAAAATACGGGCCTAAAATATAACAGCCCGCCTCGCCCTTTACGAGGGGCGGGGCGGGCTTACCCGACAGGCTAAGCCCGTTTTGACGGCTCTATCCAGTGGTCCCCCAGCACCCTATTATGCAAACATTTATACAGTTACCAAAAAAAATAAAAGACAAACACACATTTATATATATTCTGTTTATTGGTCCCTTCCACACCCATCGTTAATTAACCCTATATAAACCTCACATTCAGACTCAGACAATGTAACCACACATACACAAAGTAAGAAAGTGATTCCACTACTGGAAGTACAAAGTAAAGGTGGAATATTATTGTAAACTTTACAAAACACATGGAATAATTCAAAAAGAAACACTGCATCCATAAATAAAAGTTTGCGTACCATATATTGGCAAGGTAGCACTCCCAGACCTCTTACGCCCCATCCAGTAGTTGATTATACGTAGTCTCCTCCAGTCGTCGATTATACGTACTCTCCTTCGTCAATTTTGTGAATTTAAGATTCTAGGGTTTTTTATTTCTAATTTGGGGCTTTTCTCTAATACTCAAGGCATTGAAATACATTAAACGGAGGGAAAAAGGCAGTTGGTCAAGGCGCACAGGTAATGAAAGGACCAAAATACCCCCCAACTTAACGCCTAATTGATGGAACATGTAACGGATGACCAAATTGGGGTAATTTTTAAAAGTCAAGGGACCACATTGGGTGCAATTAAAAGTCGGAATGCAAAATTGAGAATGAGCCATAGTCAAGGGACGAAAATGGGTAAAAACTCTTAGAAAATGGTCCTACCGTTTTAGAGTCCAGGTGTAATTGTATTTATGATCAACAACTTTGTAGTTAGGTCGCGCAGGCCTGACAATGATGTAAGAACAATTTTGTCTAAAAAAAATAATATTATAATATTTGTAAAGTAATGTACAATTGTACCATTATAAAAATACATACAAAAAATATTAATACCTTAACGACCTAAATCATACCAATAATGGAAAAGTATATTGAATACGGATCAAATGCGGATGTTGTGCTCAGGTGCGAACATGGGTAAGATGAGAGTCATTGATCTTTTCAAGATCAACGTCCAAGATTAACAAGGATTAAAAAAATGCAGTGACAATTTGGTCTTTTTGCGTTTAGGTCAAACTTAAGGTGCATGATTTTTGTGTTTAAGGTGCGTGGTTTCTATGTTATGTGCTTAAGATGCGTCAGTTGTTGAAACTTAAGGTGAGTTGGTCTAAAGCTATAGGTGCGTGGTTTCCTTTCTTAAGGTACGTGATTTTCCTTCTATGTGCTTAAGGTGCGTCAATTGTTGAAACTTACGGTGCGTCGGCCTAAAGCTTTAGGTGCGCTGTTTTCCTTTTTAAGGTGCGTCGGTCTAAAGCTTTAGGTGCATGGTTTTCCTTCTTAAAATGCGTTGTTTTCCTTCTTAAGATGTGTTGTTTTCCTTCTTAAGGTGCGCCATTTGTTTTTACAGTTCATTTCTTTAATTAAGGACGCGCCTTTAAAAAAAAAAATCATTGATTTGAACCATTGATTTAGATTTAATCATCGGCTTAGATTAAACCGCATGTTCACACCTAAGCAAGTTTCCGTACCAGAACTCATCCCTATATATATTTATATACTTAAGGTATAATTGTATAAATGTATAAATGCATAATATTAGTATAAGAGTTAATTCCAGCAATGGTCCTTCGACTATTGTGATTTTCCAAAATTGGTCATCGTATTTTAATTTGGACGAAATAAACCCTTGACTATCAAATTTGTTCCACCATTAGTCCTTTCGTTAACATGGAGTTTGACAACCGTTAAGTAAAGGAGTATAAGTGTAATTTCCTTAATTATGTCTCAGCTTGAAATTCCTGTTGGCTTCAGTAATTTCTTTAGCCATGTCAGGTGGATTTGGCGAGGAAAGCAAAAGGAATTCCGGCAGAAAGCTATCATTCATGTCTGTTGGTTTGATACAATAATTATATTTCTGGGATTTGTGAGTGACCTGAATACTAATGCTAGTGCGACTACATGGGATGGGATGGGTGTGGCGGCGTCCTTGGCGGCCACCATTGATCTTTCTGGGAGGAGATCTCTTGAGCTTTATCCTCACCGCCTCTTGAGCCTTTCAGGCGTACAATAAGAGTAAAGAAATCTCCTCCAAGAAACTTCCTCTACATCTCCTCCTACTTCAAGATCACGTCCCCCATCACCCTCTCGAAGAACTCCTTCCACTTCCGCTTCTTCCGATGCCGCCGCTGGATATCCTCTCTCCTTAGGGTTTGCCTAGGGTTATACGGTGTTTTTTGATGTTTCTTTCAGGCGAGTTGCTCGGTTCTTTTGTGGAGGACGATATGATAGAGACGGTTTTGGCGGGAGGCTGTAGAGGACTTGGCAGCGGGCTGTGCAGGTCTGGCGTTAGATGATGAGGAGGTTCCGTTTGTTCCGGTAGGTGGAGAGCTGCAGGCAGATCACCCGGATGAACGGGAAACATGGGTGCTTATGGGTCGTTTCCTTACGAAGCGTTTTGTGAAGTTGGAGTTCATGCAGCAGGTGATGACTTCGGTTTGGCAGCCAATGGACGGTGTGCAGATTACGGAGGTACAGCCGGGCTTATTTATGTTTGTGTTTTATCACATTATTGACATGGAACATGTTTTGGATGAGGGTCCTTGGTCCTTTGATAATCATACTCTCGTTTGTAAGCCAGTCATTGATGGGGTTCTGCCGGTGGATGTAGTGCTGGACAGTGTGGGTATGTGGGTTCAGGTTTATGACTTGCCCATGGGGTATACGTCGTCGGCTATTTTGGAACAAATTGGAAACTATCTTGGTAAGTTTGTGAAGGGAGATGAGAGGGTTGATGGCCGGC